TTTATTTAAAATATTATTTAATTTATTTTAAATAATATTTTAAATATTAAATAGTTAAATTAAATTATTTTATTTAAAATATTAATTTATTTAAAATATTATTTTAATTATTCTAACATTTTAAAATATTATCTAATACTTTAAATATCTAAAATCTTATCTAATATTTCTAATATTCTAATAAAAACATATAAAAATGTTTTCTAAGTTTTATTAATAGTCTAGTAGCAATAAATTTGGGCTTTAGGCTCCTGGGTTCAAATCCCAGCTGTTTTTTACCTTGGGTAAGAGATTTAATCTCTCCCTGCCACATTTTCTTCATCCATAAAATGGGACAATGATCTAAATTGGGGTTGTTATGATGATCAAATAAAATGGACTAGTTGGGATGTCTGATACACATTAGCAACCAATAAATATTACTGATTATTATTATCTTAAAAGGAAAACACCAGGGCCGGCCCCGTGGCTTAGCGGTTAAGCGCGCGCGCTCCGCTACTGGCGGCCCGGGTTCAGATCCCGGGCGTGCACCGACGCACTGCTTCTCTGGCCATGCTGAGGCTGCGTCCCACATACAGCAACTAGAAGGATGTGCAACTATGACATACAACTATCTACTGGGGCTTTGGGGAGGAAAAAAAGGAGGAGGATTGGCAATAGATGTTAGCTCAGAGCGGGTCTTCCTCAGCAAAAAGAGGAGGATTAGCACGGATGTTAGCTCAGCGCTGATGTTCCTCACAAAAAAAAAAAAAAAAAAAGGAAAACACCAAAAGGAACATATATTTTGCAAGACCTTCTTTCATAAATGTTAGAGATATCCTAAGCAAGTATTCTGGCAAAAAAAATATAGGAAAAAAACTTCAATACTAGAATAAATAAAATACTTGAAAAGATGAGCTATGAACAAAACCAACTATTTACTTCTTAATGTTATTTTTTAACATCCAAAACTTATAAAACAATAGTACATGCTGAGATTCATGGTAAAGATGTCCAGAGAAACACAGAAAATGCATAAAAAATAATTAAATGTATACTCTAAACAAAACTGATCAAGTAGGTAAACCAAGCCGTCAATTCCAAAGGCCTCCAAGTTTGTTCCAGGCATGTTCCAACGACCAAAAGTAGAGGCCAAGATTTGTAAGGTGGCAGCTAGTTCATGCAAGGATAAGTACTTATTAAATTACTTTTCCTAATGCTAATTGCGCAAGCAGTTTGAAGAAATAAATTTACGTGGAAATTGAGACACTGAACACTAATGACTGGAAAGACAACTGCACACAGAAAAAAGATAGCAATATTGATCAACTCATCCAGGGATCAAAATTTTATTCATACTTTTCAGCAAATATTTACCATCTATGATTGGCCAGGCATATGCTAAACCATAAGAAATACAAAGAAGGATAAAGCAGTCCCTACTCTTAGCTTCTAATGCAGTAAACATACAAAGACGAAATTGGAATACAGCTCTTTGTTGGGGTAAACACGTAGCAGTGGCACCTAACTCAGTTCTAAGTTGGTATGGAAGGATTCTCAGAAAAGTCATATTAAATATGAAGCCAGGAAGAGTCAGAGTGAGATAGGCAAAGGGCTGAGAGTGGCATGAAGGGTCTTTAGGCAGAGGGAACAGCATATGCAAAAAGTACATCAAATTACCACTTCTCTACTCCCTACTCTCCAATGGCTTCCCACTACACTTAAATAAAATCCTCTATTTGTTTCATGGCCTTAAGGGTCCTATGTTATCCGGCCCCAAGGCATCTCCTACTCTCCCCCTTACTTCTTGCCCGTCAGACACTCTGGCCTCCTTACTGTCCTCAAATATGCCCAGTACATTCCTGCCTCAAAGCCTTTACCCTTGCTGTGCCCTCTGCCTAGGCTGCTCTTTCACCAGATATCTACAAGGCTCATTTGATTCAAATGTCACCTCTTCAGGGATGTCTTCCCTGTCCACTCTATCTAAAATACCTCGCCAACTTCAGGAAGTCTATTTTTCTTTCTAGCCCTGAAAACCACCTGTATTAGACACCATTCCTCTTCACATGTGATCCCTAAAGTTTGCCTCTTCAACCAGAATGCAAGCTCCACGAGGGCAGAGGCTTTGTCTGCCTTGGGTTCGGGGCAGATTTCCAGAGCCTATAAGTGTGCTTGGCATGTGGTGTGGGTTCAGTAAATATTTGTTGAATAATTAATGAACTTATAAATGACCTGAAGGCAGAGAGGAGTCTTGGATGGTCCAGAGACACAACGGTTCAGCATAAATGGTGCATAAGACGTAAGGGGAGAAGCCATCAAAGGTGGGCTGGACTAAGTCTGTTTTCTAGAAGGTATGAACAACTTTCTTTAACTTTTCTTATTTTTGTCTTGCCATCATACCCATACAATTAACAAGAACAGTTCTCTGTCAGACATTTTCAATTATTATTAGTCCCTGCTCCCACAGTGTGGTTGCCCAGATCCCAAGAGATAAGCTGTAGCTAGAGAAGAGTATTACAGAATCTCCTGGCTTCCTTCCATGGAAATGACATGTATGTTTTTGACAACATAGAATCTTACGATTTGAAGGGACCATCATGGTAATCTAAATAACTAACACCTGCTAGAATTTTCCAAAAGGAACTAAGAATGTAAAAAAAAAAAACCAGCAACAAAACATATACACCCACTCTAGTATACAAATGGAAGTGTTGATGGATCCCTTTTATTCAAACTCATGTTAGTCAGGGAGATGAGGGATTTTCTACACTTCAGTGTAGAAAGCAAGTTACATGAGAACTAGTACATATTTACCATTGAGTGGTTGGACAATATCAGCTCCAGAAACAGAGGTGAACAGAACTGGGATAGAGGCAGAACACAGGAGAGACAGATGGAGAGTGGTCATCAGTATCATGTTAATATCTGAAATGGCTATCATTTGCGGGATCTGACTAAATCCCAGAGATACTGAGCTAAATACTTCAGTACTTGACAGAGTTTATTCTTTTAATGCTCACAACACTAAACACCTAGGAGGTTATCCTGTCACCAATCCCATGTCATAAAAGAGGACATTGGGGTTTATGAAGGTAAGGTGACAGGGCTAGAATTCAAACCCTGTCTGGCTCTTAACCATCATGCTACTTATCGGACCACCCAGGCCTCTCTCTCTATCTCACCAACCCACTCAACATAGAGTAGGCTCTTTTATGTGATAAATACCTATTTTTCAACTCCCCGAAACCTTGAAAGGCAGCCAGCATTAAGGAGGAGGTACCGAGCCGCGCCGGGGTTCGATCCCGGGCGCGAACCGACGCACTGCTTCTCCGGCCATGCTGAGGCCGCGTCCCACATACAGCAACTAGAAGGATGTGCAGCTATGACATACAACTATCTACTGGGGATTTGGGGGAAAAAAATAAATAAACAAAATTATAAAAAAAAAAAAAAGGAGGCGGTACCATTGCTCCTGTACTCCTTTCTCTAATGATTGGAAAAAAACAAGGAAGATAGGATGAGAAAGAAGCCACAGAAATAACAGATGAGCTCAGAGACAGACCACTGGGGAGATTCAAGATCCACCAACTGGATACTCCCGGGCTACAGTATATTCATCTCTTCCAAAGAGCTGAGAGATTATTCCTCTTAGACATCCTGCTATCTGAAGTTCTCTCACGACTCATCTCTTGACCTGCACTTGAACTCCTCCTGCACATGATGCTTCTTCTCTAGCCATTTACAAGACTAAACTTCCAATTTATACAACAGTATTTAAAATACTGATGCAGTTGGCAACTGCATCACTTGATGGCAAACATCAAGCTCTTTCCTTTTGTTTTTACTTCTAGAGTTTTGTTAACTTGACTTAAATATAGAAAATACTATTTAAATAAATTCTTTGTTAAGAATCTTATGAAATCAACTTAATTTCCAGCAAAGAGAAAAGCAAATGAATGATAGAGTTATTTCATATTAAAAGGAACAGTTATGTAACCGTCCCACAGGGAAGAGCCAGGCTGAAGTCAAAATGATAAAAGACTGAAATAGCCTTGCTTCTCTACAAGTCAAGTTTACAGGCGGGAAGTTCACGTGCAACATACTTTTCATACAGCCTCTGTCCTCTCATGAAGGCCTTCACTTCGTTGTCCAAGGGAAAGGTGCCATCATCCTTTCTAAAGCGGTAGAAGAGTTTGACGTCCTTGAATTCCTTATGCTCATCACACACTGAAATACAATATACACAGAGAGGCAAATGAGAAAAAAAATAACTCTAATTACTCAAATGAAGATACTAATTAAGAATTGTTTCACTCCTTAATTTTTCAAGCACACAAATATCTCTCATATGATTTAATACATGTGAAATACTTAGCACAGTACCTGGTACAGAATAAGTGCTCAGTATTACTAGCCACCAGCACCACCATCACCATCATCATCATCAATATTATCTATTGAAAGAGTCACAAAACTCAATTCATCATTCATTCCACAAGCTCTTCTTGAGAATGATATTGGGGCAGGCATCAACCTCAAAGAATGTGAAGTCTAGTGAGATAGAGAGAAATGTCAACACGTGATTAAAATATGGTGTGATAAGGCTCTGAAAAGGCGAGGAGAGACTGCAATGAGAGCCCAAAGGAGGAGTACCCAGAACCCCAGTAACCTAGTTTTGTGGAATGGGTGCCTCTCTGAAGAGTCTGCTTATAAGTGGATACCTGAAGAATGAGTAGAAATTGGTTAAAAATGAGGACAAAGGGCATTCCAACCCAAGAGAATAACAGCATGTGAAAGGTCTCAACCAGGGTTAGAGAATTCAAGGACACATGTTCAGGAATGTCCATCGAACCATTGAGAGTAAAAGCAAAAACTTGGAAATAACCTAACCGTCCTTTAGGAGAATGGATAAATGTGTGATGGCATCATTACACATGGCATACAACACAGCAGTGAAAATGGACAAACCAACAAGGGATACACCATCGACATGGATGAATCTCACAAACAGCGTGTTGATCAAGTGGCAAAAGAATAAACATGCCTCTCTATGATGCTTTAAAATACTTAAAACAATATGATACATTGCTAAGAGATACATATACAGAAAGGAAACCCAACGAAGTCCATGGAAATAAACACAAATGCCTCTTGGAGGGAGGAAGGGAATGTAATTGGGAAGAGGTACACAGGAGACAATAGAAAGTAAAATGTCTTATTTCTTAAATGGGTAGCTTCATATCTGGAATAGAAGATTTGGTCAACTGCTTCCTCTCAAGTTACCTTGACTGTTGCCATCTCACTCACCATGATGAATAATGCCCCGGTCTGCTAACTTCTGCATGAGTTTAATTGCTGTCTCTCTGTCAGAAGCCTCTTTGTGCTCAATCAGCCAGTCAATCAGTTCTTTTGCAACAAAACAGTTTGGGTAGGTTTTGAGATGATGTCGCCTATCTTTAATAACCTTTTCTTCATGCAGCCTGAGCCTGGAAAGAAAATAAATTCGGCAATCACTTTAGGAAGTTTGACGACAAATTATTAAACCAATCCCAGAGAGCAGTAACAAAATGGAAGCTCTAAATGCATCAGAGTGTCCTTCAAATACCTTTATGTCAGTGGGTGATTTCCATACTATCAGAGCCCAGAGGCCCCAGAAAGTGGTTCCACCTCCGGATCTCGAAATGACACAGGTAAATGGGAGGGAAAAACAACCACAAACATCCTAGAGCTCCCCTGCCACTCAGGAGACTGAGAAAAGCTCTCCCACTCCTACTCTGCCTCAATCCCTTCTCTTTATCTCTCCACTAGTGGCCTATGGCTTCAACCAACCAACAAACAAACTCTAGAAACTTGTTGAAACCAGGTACTTCCTCTTCATCACAGATTGCTCAGGGTCCACTATATTTGCATTCATTCATTCATTCATTCATTCATTCATATGATAATTATGAATGAGCATCTACTACCCACCCATTAGGCACTTCCAGGCATTAGAGACATACATCAGAAAATACACAAAGATCCTTGCCTTTGCGGGCCTTGTTTACTATAGGAGCTACAGCTAATCCTCTCGTGGGGCTTACTAGGTTCCAGGTAGGTGCTGATCTGAGCACTTTACATAGACTGACTCACTTACTGCTCCCAACAACCTCATCAGAAGTTTCCATTACTATCTCCATTTTTTTTTTTTACAGCACAGAGAACTGAGGCCTCAGAGAGATTAAGTGACTTGCCTAAGATCTCACAGCTAGGAAGTGATGAAAATGAGGTTCAAACCCTGATGGTCTCACTTCAGTGTCTAGCTTTCCAATTCTGTATCATGCTGCCTCTAGCCAGCAAAGGATAAACGAAAAATCCAGAAGAGATAGATTAAAGCTGTTGGACAAATACAACTGATTTACCAGCTGATGGCCTAGCATGGAGAAAAGTGGTTGACATGGAGCCTTCTCCTACTCCCTTCAGAACTCAGTGACTTTTTCTGAAAAGAAGCTAAACCTGCCTTTTAAAAAAAAAGTTTCTTCCATTTGTCTTCCTTTCTTTCATCAGCCTTGCATTTACTTTTTAATTCTCAAGTGAATGATTTGAAATTAAGTCCATTCAAAGTCAGCTTCAGTCAATTGGGTCAATGGGGTGAACTTGCCTTCTACTTCACCCATGCTCCTTACCTCATATTCTCAACATTGTTGAGAAATGGGAATGCCACATGAATAAATCACACAGTGACTGTGTGACCTGGGCAAGTGACTTACTGTCTCTTTCTTCCTCTGTAAAGTGGAGGCACTTATGCCTACTCTATCCTTGGCAATGTTAAGATTTGGGGACATAATGTCTGTTAAGCACCAGCAACTCAGCATAGTGCCTGACATATAACAGGTCCCATCCTCCTTTCTTCCACTCCCTAAAGAAGGAACTAGATCATACTCTTCCCTGTTTTTTGAACAGAGTGCCCTGAATGGAATTTAATGGGTTTTGATATCCTAAGGGTTGCCGTTATGAGTGGGAGCATTCTGGGCTGGAGCTCTGAGGCTTAGATGCTCTTCCTTGCTAGACCACTATTATAAACTGAATAGTGTTCCTCTAAATTTCATACGTTGAGGCCCTAACCGCTAGTACTTCAGAACGTGACTGTATTAAGAGACAGCGTCTTTAAAAAGCAATTAAATCAAAATGAGGTCATTAGGGTGGGCCCTGATACAATATGACTAGCGCCCTTGTAAGAAGAGGAGATTAGGATACAGACAGGCACAGAGGAAAGACCATGTGAAGACACAGGGAGAAGATGGCCATCTACAAGCCAAGGAGAGAGGCCTCAGAAGAAACCAACCCTGCCAACACCTTGATCTCAGATTTCTAGCCTCCAGAACTATGAGAAAGCAAATTTCTGGTTTTTATTTTGGGAGGAAGATCGGCCCCGAGCTAACATCTGCCGATCCTCCTCTTTTTGCTGAGGAAGACTGGCCCTGGGCTAACATCCATGCCCACCTTCCTCCACTTTATACGGGACGCTGCCACAGCACGGCTTGCCAAACGGTGCGCAAGTGCGTGCCTCGGATCCAAACCGGCGAACCCTGGGCCGCTGCAGCAGAGTGTGCGCACTTAACCGCTTGCGCCACCGGGCCAGCCCCAAATTTCTGTTGTTTAAGCCACTCAGTCTCTGATACTTTGTTATGGCAGCCTGAGGAGACTACAACAATCCTAACTGCTCAAGACTGGAGGCTCGAGAATAGTCTAGGATGAAAGGCTTAGCTGGGCCTTCAGCAACGGGAAGGGAGAGGAAGAGAGAAAGGAGAGTTCTAACAGCTATAAACCTCATAGAGAGAAAAGAACCATTTTGAATGAGTTCCTACTATATGTCCAGTATTGTACTAAGTATTCACACATGCTAACTTAACTAATTGTTACGGTCCAAGTGTTTGCATCTCCCCAAAATTCATATGCTGAAATACCAAACCCCAAAATGTCAGTTATGACGACAGTCCAGAACACAGGACTAGGAATAGGAAAACTTGGCTTTCGTCCTGACACTGCCAGTAATTCCAGATATCAAACTTCTGAGCATCAGAGTCCTCATTGGTAAAATGGGGATAATGGTACCCACCTTGATTACCTTGTCATACTGTCACAAGCTCATTAATAAAAATAAAGACAACATTTGAGCCCTAATGTGCTAGGCACAGTTTTAACTACTTTATTAGCATTAATCCTCATGACAACTCCCTGAGGCAGGTAATGTTAAAACCACAAATAATACCAATGTAGAGCCATAATTATTAATAAAAAAAAATGAACTCCAATAAAAAAACACATCACATAAGCCTGCTAAAGTCATCACATGATTCCTTCTAATTAATTCAGTGACAATGACACTGAGTAATTTGTTTAACATGCTCAAAGTGGCAGAATGCAAAATATTAATTCTTAGACTTGATGTCTGTCAGGAATCCAAGAATAATGAAGACCAATTTATTTAGAAATTGAAATACAGAACAAGCTACCATATAATTTGGTGGAGGAGGAATATGTTATGAGCCAAGAGAGGAGTTTTAGCTCCTGTAAATTTGCCAATTAAAAAAAATTATTAGGTAATGTTTATCTTTAAATATGACAGAACAAAACCTTTCAGTTACTATCCTTCCATGAACCCTGAGCTTGGTGCTAACCCTTGAGCATTCTTGATTCCCACCAATTCCCACCCTGCACCAAAAGGAGAAGCCCTAGACACACCCCCTTGGCCCCACCAGGGCCTGGTACATTTCCATGTTTAGAACACTGAGCAGAAATCTGATGGAGGGGAAAGAACTCTGGATACAAGAGATAGCCTAGAACTTGATATTTTTAGACATGCTACCAAGGGTTAAAAATGTTCAATAACTGTGTTACCATCTTTTTTCTTCTCTAGTCAGAAACACGGAATTCTAAAGATGAGCACTGAAAATTGTATATTCCAGAAAAACTATTCCCATAAAGAGATAAGAATTTTCACACTGCAAACACCAAGTGTTGTGCCTGGCACAGTGGGTACTTAATAAATACTTGGTGAACAAATGAATGTGCAACGGCACTAATAGAAATGACACCATTTTCAAAGTGGTAGGGAGGCTTCTCACTAACTTAGTAGGGGTTCTTACTATTATATACTATTAACATTACGTTATCATAGAATTCATCTAAGTCTTTTGTTTGTTTGTTTGTTTGTTTTAAGAGTTTTGTTGGGGCCGGCCCGGTGGCGTAGCGGTTAAGTGTGCGCGCTCCGCTGCTGGCAGCCCGGGGTTCGCAGGTTCGGATCCTGGGCGCGCACTGATGCACCGCTTGTCAAGCCATGCTGTGGCAGTGTCCCATATAAAGTAGAGGAAGATGGGCACGGATGTTAGCCCAGGGCCAGTCTTCCTTGGCAAAAAGAGAAGGATTGGCATCAGATGTTAGCTCAGGGCTAATCTTCCTCACAAAAAATAAAAAAAAAAGAGTTTTGTTGTGCTTCATTTTTTTTACTAAATGGACTCACTCATTTAATTCCTCTAGAGCCAAAGAACCACTTACACTACTTTATTTCTTCCCCAATTAGAATGCAGGGATTTTCCTCCCAATTAAGAGAATTCTAAGTCTTTTTTAAAAAACTATTTATGTTGTTAATTCCAGAGTAATCAATTTCCAAAGTTTTAATCTCTGTTGTGTGTGTGTGTGTGTATATGTGGGGTATGTGAGTTTTTTTTAAAAAAAAAAACGCACTTCCTTCTACTTGAACTAAACTTACACCTTACAAATTTTCACAACTTTTAATACACTAATATGCATGGAGATCTCCAAGAAGGGGAAAGAGTAAGTCACATTTCAAAGTTCTGTGGAAAAATGGAAATTCTGCGTAGCCACACCTCTTGTGGACTAGCTTGCTCCAGAAAGACTCTGCACACTGCTGAGCTAGGGGCCAAAAGCCACAATTTTAAACACAGTATTTTGCCTAGACACATCAGTCATATTGTCTGCCATGCCCAACATCCCCTTCGATTTAACACTGCCTTACACACCTGACCCACCTCAGGCAGGGTTCAAAATCTGCCTGTTTTCTTTGCATGAGAAGGCGCCTAATTGGAAGAGTCCCTGACCTATGGCGGCCCCTGCCCACGCCCACAGGCAGTTCAACGAGGAGAGAGGAGACCAGGGGCCCAAGATTCTACTTAATTTAAGTGACAGTAATTAGCTAAGCCAGGCAGAATGGCTCCCTCCAAGATTTCAACTAGACCTGAAGTTTTCAAACTATTTGTGCCATGGAACACGTTCTTCAAGTGGAAACTTACCCAGATGTCAATGTGGATAACAGAGCAATGTGAGGTGCTCTGGGTAAAAGGGGGTAGGGCTGTCAAGTCCAGAGTATTTCCTGGTTCTCCCATTTTGTTCTCTCACGTACACCCTCCACAACCCCTAGGCTATCTACATGGAATTCCTAGAACAAAGGTTAAAAAAACCCAGGGCTAGAGGACACTGAGGAAAC